TATGTTGACACCTGATCTCAAGACTCCCAGCCTCCAGAACCGTGAGCAAGAAATTTCTGCTGTTTATAAGATGCCCAGTCTGCGGTATTGTGTTATAGCAGCCCAAACAGACTTAAGGAACACTATTCACGAGACCAGGTTCAAGTCCCGATTTTCCTCTTTCCTGTGGGCCTGAAGTAAGTCACATACTCTCCTATTTCTTTCTGACAATACCTAGGCCAAGTCCTTTCCTATGTTGACACAAGGCTGAAATGTGGTCACATGGCTATAAAGTGCTTTCAAAACTGTGAAGTCCTCAACCAATGGGAAAATATTTTAATACGAATGTGTAACTTAGTATTATTTTGAAGGTGGGAACATTTTCAAGGATGAGTCCAAGTTTATGGTTTTTCACTGTTCCGGTTTAGCAGAATGCTATCCTATTTATAAGGACCTCAATAAAATAGTGTCGTATTAAGTTTTATTATATGGTGACCATTGCGGGCCACTTCTGGTATAAAGGATCTTAGATGTAATCCTTCTACGCTAGCACTCACAGAGGATTTTATTAAAATAACATTTTTAAAGGGCAGAAAATTAAGAAACAATCCTATGTGACTTATTAGAGAGACCATCACAGAACAGACTGTAGAAATTCTTTACATCTTCTGCAACAATAAAATGAAACACTGCCTAAATTTAGCAAAGACACTACTAAGAGGCAGGTATTCTGCAGGCAGGAAAACCTTTTATTTTAAACCACAAATAGTCAGCAGGTGGCCACAACTATCCATGTTTCATTAAAATCACATAAAACCTAGGTACAAAAGCACCACTGATTATTGCTCTAGAAAAACTGCATGAAAAAATTCAAATACGCACAGTAAAAACACCACAGTATGCACAGGACTCAATTTTTAAAGCAAGTGCATAGAATGCTGAAACAATTTTACAGACAGCTTCCAATATTAAATTGGTATTTATTTTACTCAAGGATGACGGAAATTTCCAAAAAGCATGACTACGAGAAGGTAAAATGTCCATCCTTATATATTTTTGTATGCCAACTAGTAGAGTCCTAAAAAATTAGCATTTACAAAATACTCGGTAAAAATAGCTTTTAAAAGTTGTCCCAAGAGGTACATAAAATCAACCCCAATTTTCATGACAATTCATTCTCCCTCGTTTACAGATTCAGTTTTCTGTGCCTGTGGAAAAAGAACGGAAGACAAAAAAGATAGAGTTACTATTAAAACAACTATAAGCCAAAGAAGATTCTACCCCACTGACACACACACTTTGGAACATCTGTTATTTAGCAGCTCTACCGCAAAACCCACTTCAACTCTGGGTGTAATACAGACAAGGCAGGACACAAACACTTGGCTGCCTTTATTGCTTTCTGCTTTGCAAACAACCACGGAAGCTTTACCTGTGAGCTCCCTCGGTTCACGATAAAAAGAACACCACGCTACTATCTGACGCTAGTCACTGCAAACGTGCGGAATTTTCTACTGTACCCTTAACTCTCACTGTTTCAATCTGCCCCTTTACTGACAGTGTGCTGGGTGGGGTACCTCTGGAGGCTGAGACATTAACAGTTGAGCGAGAGATGTGGATCTGCAATAACATTACAGGCAATAAAGAGAGACGTTATGAACATGCGGTCGCCGGCTGAAGGATCGAGCAATTGCTTTCAAGACACTGATTCAATCAGTGGGAGGTATTTCGGGAAAGTACCTCTTCAGCTTCAGTGTCACCGTTTTCAGATGGTGCAGTACCTTCCTTTCCAGCTTCCTGCTTTTCCTCCTTCTCCCCTTTCGCACCTTTGTTAACCTTTGCTGCCAGTTCTTTCTAACAGGGGATCAAAGCACAGGGAAATGGAGTGTGTTAGACACGGTGTGATGCTGTGCAAACTCAGCCAGCCTCCGTCCAAGCACAGGGGGAAACACAAGGACAATGTGGTGGCTTTCAGGGGAAAATGGAAGCCCCGTTCCCCTGAGCTTTGAGTGAGTTCCACTGAGGCTCCACGAACATGTAACAGGCAGCTTAGAAAATCCACTGGACTTTGATTTCCCCTCGTGTGTGTCTTTGGAGAGCCCCGTCTCTTGCTAAAGTGAGAAGTGGCTCTGCCGTGGGAAACTAGCGGCAGGGGGACGTGGTGAAGCCAAGGGCAGACCCAGCAAGAGAAACACTGCGCGTGGGGACCTGGGGCTTTAGTGACGAGAAAGCCGAGAAAGCGCTTAAAAGGAAGGCCCAGAGGAAGAAAAATTCCTGATTTTAAGACCAAGCTGGGACTTCCCTGGCGGTCCAGTGGTTAAGACTCTGCGCTTCCACTGCAGGGGGCACGGGTTCGATCCCTGGTCAGGGAACTAAGATCCCACAAACTGTGTGGCACGGCCAAAGAGTAAAAAAATAAAAATAACCAAGCCACAGAAATGAGTTCCGCTTCCGAACTGCCTACTCGTACCATGATACATACACATCGTTTCAAAAAATTCACAGCAAGGGACGATGCTCTGAAGGGCAGGGTACAGAAAAGCCATTTGGGAGTAAATTTCTTAATAATCCTGTGCCGCAGTTTCCTCGTCTGACAAACGGGATACGTGTACCTACCTCAGTAGGGCTGATGTGAGGATCTATGCATAGGATAAGCACCATAACTGTTTGCCGGTATTAATTATTTGCTGTTATTGACTATTATAGTATTATTATTAGTCCTCAGACTGACCTCCTCAGATCAGTTACGTGAAGTCAGAAGCCCCTCCCCACGCCTCCAGGTGTTGGCAGCAGTGTCACCCGGGCCCGGGCTCACCCCATCTGAACGGCGTGTTCTTGAGGCAGCTACCAAACCTCGCCTTGGACATGAGGCATCTCACACCAACACGCTCTGACCTCCTTTGCTTTACGGACCAAACGGAAAGCACACTCCCAGTGAGACATAAAGCTGTGCTCTCTGCCTTCAGAGAAAGCCTGTCTGTAGCTGGCGGAAGTTTTCTGGTCTGTACATTGAGCCTGGATCATAAAATGTGATCATGCCTCGGATGACTCTGGGATATGGGATTATAATTTATTCACTGCTGAAAAAGCCAAAGCGGGGCGGGGGACCACCTCTTACCTTAGCAGATGTTTTTCTTGGTTTAGGTTCAGGTTTTGAGGGAGCAGGTTTCTGCAAAGACAAATTAAGTTACACAAATATTGAAAAAAGACAACCCTCAGCACCAAAAGGAACAGCAACAAGACTGCTAAAGACAGTCCATTTTGACTGTGATGTTCATTTCAAAAAATATGTTGTCCTATTTTCAGCATCAGGTAGCAGCAAAAGGACCTCTGCATTTCATAACTATTTTCATCCTGGGTTCTCAAGTGAATGGCAGGTGAGATCTGAAAGCCAACTCACTATTCCCCGGGCCAGAACAGCTCTCCGGGAACAGATTTAAGCTTCTGTGTCCCATGTCTCTGTACTTCCTTTTATCACAACACAGCAGCAAGAGGAATGACTCAGGCCCTTGGCCAAATGACTCGGTGAATTCAGTGACACCGGCCTCCCGAACAGTCTAGAAATCCTAGCACCATCACAGGCAAAAGCCCATCGGGAATAAGAGAGCTTCCCCGTGAAGTGTTCCAAAGCCAGTTCCAAATCCTCCCATCTCCGACGCAGGTTTCAAGCGCTTGTTGAAGGTTGGGCTTCCTCCTACTTTCCTCTTCCAAGGCCAGCTCAAGGTGAGGAGACTCTCCTGCCCATCCAGACCCTGGGCTCATTTGTCCCTAGAGCTTGTTATTAAGAACACAATTATAATGATACAATGTCCACTGTTAGCTCCCAAAGTTCAAGATCTTTCACAGACCCTATTAGCCAAAGAGCCCAGCGGGCAACTCTTTTTCTCTTGCCTCGTGTGGCTCTCCCCACTCCTGGGAGCAATGCCCACCTGTCCCGTGGCCCCAGGCCCCTTCACGCAGGGCTTCAGCCCGGCTGCTTCCTAGGGGTCTGAGATGGGCACATGGAGATATTGCGGAAGTGTAAACCTCTGGTTTTCTATAGCTACCTTAGGGCAAATATTTCTCTCGTTAAGAAAAAATTACACTTCTTTCCTGGCACCAGGGAGAATGGTTTTTAAATAGGAAACACTGCCCAGAGTCCCTCTCTGCATCCCCGTGGAGAAAAAACACATGTTCCTCCCCAATACCTCCAGATGTTCAGGATCATACAGAACCTGGCCCTTTCCATCAAGGGCATAAACTGAAATTGTAGTCAGTTCAGTTCTGGAAGATTGACCATTGGACACGACCTCTCAAATAAAAAAAGAAAGTGCAGGGCTTCCCTGGTGGCGCAGTGGTTGAGAGTCCGCCTGCTGATGCAGGGGACACGGGTTCGTGCCCCGGTCCGGGAAGATTCCACATGCCGTGGAGCGGCTGGGCCCGTGAGCCATGGCCACTGAGCCTGCGCGTCCGGATCCTGTGCTCCGCAACGGGAGAGGCCACAACAGTGAGAGGCCCGCATACCGCAAAAAAAAAAAAGAAAGTGGAGCTTGAAAAGTAGAGACTATTTTCCTTAACCTTCTGACCACTGTAAATTTGTACCTTGCTCCCCACATCTATCAGCTTGCATGGCTCCTAAATTTTCAGGATTAAAAAAATTTTATTTGGGGCTTTGATATAGTGTATTAATATGCCCTCGTTTTCTCAATTTACAGCAAATAATGTCCTTTCATATTATTTGCTGTTAAGACAGACCTTTCTCCCAAACTCAGCATTCGTGTTTTGATGGGATAGGAAATGATGAGGTTTTGTAGTCTGTAATCCCACTGGCTTCCAAGGAGGCTCTCTCTGCGTCAGCACCATGGGCAACGATGTCAGTGGAAGGTATTATATTGCTGATCCCTGGTGCTCAGGAAAGGCCTTATATTAAATTTTGGCTTTTGACTTACATGATCTACCCCCTTGAAAGGCTAGATATCCATGGAATACAATGGCTTTCAGTATAATCTACAGTGAAATCTACAAAAGAGTTAAAACTTAACTTCTCAACCACAGTGAACAAGGTGGACAAGCACACCACCTTTGAGGGGTTTTGGCAGAATCTGGATCAACTGGGTACACACACGACCACACCTCCCAGGTCTTAACCTTCCTGGTAACTCTGACATTGCTTCCTAGGTTGGGACTCATGTGAAACACTGACTCAGCCAACCCAAACCTGGCTATACTTCTGAACTTGTGAATGGTCCCAATACCTGCCTCTTTTTTTTTTTTTCTTTCAATGTGTGAAACAAGTTTAGCAAAAATATATTGAGAAGAAAAGCCAGAAACTGCTATATATATTTTTTAATTTGTGAAACAAGTTTAGCAAAAATATATTGAGAAGAAAAGCCAGAAACTAGTATTTTTTTTTTAAAGTTCAGAAACAAGTTTCCAACATCCATTTCAGCTTGGATTCCCTACACTGTGCCAGGCACAGGTGTGCGCTGAGGAGGAAATCCATGCTTCCCTGAAGGTCACAGTAGCTTGCAGCTCCCGGGCTATCTAGTATCGGGATATGTGCCATCAGCCAAGAGGTCAATGCCTTTCCCTCTGCGTGTCAGTGGGCAGTGCATATAAAGTAACCCAAGTCCTCCACCAGAGAGGCAGGCTGCCCTGTCTTGGCAGAAGGAATACTGGTACATTAGCAGGGCGGCAGGGATGAGTACTGGAGCCAGCCGGGAGCACAGCGTGGTGAGAAGGGCTGAGGCACACTCCTGGCCAAGGCTTGCTCACACCAGCCGGTCCCAGCTTTAATGATCTTAATGCTTGTCCTTTCCCTGGGCCTGGCCCACAGAGGGAGACCCCAGGTGGCAGAGTGGAAATCGTTACTTTTTCAGATTCTCTAGTTCTGAAGTGAGGCTAGAGCCTATGGATTCAGACAACCTTCAGAACATCCTGACTAAGGTATGAGTCATGGAGGGAGAACTGGAATTCTTGACTACTTTAGCAGATCAGGTGTAGAATGGGAGGCTAGGACTTTGCTAACCTAATTCTTCATCTCAGGGATCCAGTGATATCAAACAGCTTCCTGGGCTTTGTATGCTTGCTAAACGGGCTGGCCACTGTTTTTCACCAACGTGTCTGATCAAGTGAGCTGCTGGCAACACTGGTCAAAGTTGCTAGAAATTCTGACCCAGGTTATTTCTAAAAAGGAAATAAAAAAAGCTCAAGGGAAATACCACCTTCATCTTCCTTTGGCTGCTTTGCTCTGGACAGAGGGAACGTGTATTCATAAGAGCTAACAACAACGGGGTCCAAAGTACTCACCGCTGACAACCTGGCAGACCGTCTGGTGGGCTACAGAGGAAACGAAAACAAAAAAAAACATATTTTTTTGGTGATTATACACAACCAAGTTGAGTTTTAAAAATTCATTCTTACTGTCTTACTTTGTTGAAAGAATAGAATGCATGAGTCCCATTACCCTCCCCAGGTGAGCATGGTGAAACATACCCCCAAGTGCCCTGGGCACTGGAATATTCCAGAGGACGTGTTCCTAAAGAGGTGTAGGCTCACGGTTCAAAGAAATGGGCTTTTGCAGTAGAGGGTGGGGTGGACAAGGAAAAGGCAAAGAGGACACACTTAGGCTCCGACCCAAACTTCTGTGATAAAACTGGCAACAGGAGCACTGAGGTGCTATTTAAGAACCAGTCCAGTCTGACTCTTGTTCCTTACAAATGGAACTAAAGCTTATAAATTAATACTAAACGAGACTTATATAATTGTGCAGAAACCGAAATAGCAGGAGTCCCCTCCCTGGTTACTACATTAGAAAAGAGAATGACCACAAATCTTAGGCAGTTAACAAGCAAGACTTCCTTTTACCTGTAACAAAATAAACACATTTATTTATCTACGAAATGCACACGTTGAAAGATGTAAATAATCTTTTTAATAATCTCATCTTTTCATTTAGAAGTTTACAAATTTAGAGAAACTGGGTTGAGGTTGGTATTTTTCAAGGAAATCTTTTCTTCAAGGATGGTGCAAGTTAACAGCAAACGACATGGCAAAGAAAACTTCTAAGAGCAGAACCGTTCTAGGCATTTCAGAAACACGCGTATAGAATTGATATTCTACTTCCCATCAGCAAAAGATGGCTCCCCGAGGGATTTCACTTTCTAAAAGTACAACTGCCTTTCTTTAAAAGTGTTCCAGAAGCAAATACTCCATACTTTCTGTCTGTTTTGTTCACTGCTCTATCTGCAGTAGAATAGTGTACCACCTGACATACAGTGGATATGCAAGAATACTGGCTGAAAAAAATAAACTCAAGCTTTTCCCTAATTTGCTGCCTTATGCAGACTTTGCCTCATTACAATAGCTGAAATGTCTCAAATAATCTTTTAAGGGGGTCAGCAGGAGCCTGGCTCAGGACTGCAAGGAATCATGGAATTCTCCTGTCAGTCTAGGTCAGCTGGTCAAGGCCAAAGTCAAAGAAATGTTTCTTGTCATCTCCACATCGAAGAACTTTCTCGCTGAAAATAGCTAGAGGAAGCTAAAGTCATCTTTCTTTAAACTACAGAAGGAAATGAAGGGCCAGAGCCTTCTGGAATAATTTTGACCTTGGGGTCGTGTGCAAAGCTGAGTTGGACTTCAGGCTGGTAGGCAGAACGTGCCGAGTCGGGGAGACTGTGCAGGCAATGTGTTGGCTGTGACACGTCACTGCAGGGGTAAGGGGTACACAGTATGGGAGGCGGGGCCTGGACCAGATGCTCCATGGGAATCACCACGGCGTCTGCTGGATTATCATGGGATAATTGGAAGCAATAACCATGCTGGGAGCCAGAACCCAAATCCTGTAGTGCCTTTCCCAGGCTGGTTAATTGCATGTGCTGGGTATCCCCGAAGAAGAGGCAGCATCATCACTTAAACCCGGCAGCAAGTGGGTAGCCTGTGCTTCCTCAGTATGCTTTCTGAGCATGTTGGAGCAAAGGAGCATCCTCCAATTACCAGCCAGAGCCCAGCTTAACGCTTCTGTGTGGCTTCAAGAACCGCCCACACTGCCTCAAGAGGAAAGTGCAGCCGGCAGAAGAGTGCTCAGAAAGATGCCCTCTGAGAGGAAAATCGGCGGCCTCTCTGCTAAAGGGGGTTGAACAGGTCTTGTCTGAATCCCGCCCCGCAACTTGGTGTCGCCCTGCATGTGCCCGGTTGGCCTTCCCTCCCCTGTCTCCTATCTGTACCCCATCTGCACAGAACCCCCTTCTCTTGCACTTCTGTAGCGGGAGCCCTCAGTAAAACGTGGAGGTAAATGGAGTGGTAAGACAGGCCAGACACGCAAGTGTGAGCTTGCAGGGTGCAAGGCCAAGGCCACTCCTCACTTACCATCCAGTTTGGAGACTGAAAAGCGGCCAACAGGTTAACCATTACTTATAAGGGCTTCCCTATCCACCAAGGAGCTGTCCTGAATAAGAGCTCATGGAAGCGAAGCCAAATCCTCTGAAAAATCCCCCACCCCCAACCCCGGTCCCCATCCCCCATCCGCACCCCGCTCCCCGGGATTTCCAGAGAGACTTCCAACCAAGCCCTGCTCTGCGGGGCCGGCAAGCTGTTCCGATCCAAAAGACTAGCTACCTTTTCATAATTCAGGTCCAGTACAAGAGTTTTAAAATAAAAATCCTAGGAAATTAATGCAAAAACAGAGTTTGCCTTTCTAGGCTGTCTAAACCAAGCCGTCTCTAAAAACCACGTTTTACTCTAAAATGATTTTATGACTTCCTGCTAAAATTTACCAGCTCTTCTTTCTATGCTAAAAAAAAAAAAGAGACTTCTCTTAAACGTTCCTTTTCGGTAACCATCCTAAGAGATTTTCTTTTTCACTGCAGACACAGGAGGCTGAAACGAACCTTCACTCACAGTCAGCAGTACTGATTATGCACCAAGTGTATACACCTTCCTGGAACATTTCATCAGCTTTCACAAGCCTTCAAATCTATAAATGATTGGACCATATATACCAGATATCAAATAGACCAGACTGCTCTCTTTCCCTCTTTCAAACACTAGAATTCAAAGTATTCATTTAAGACTCAGGCTGTGGGGCAGAACTACTATGAAAAAAAAGATAAGAAGAATTTCTCCTGAGAAACAACAAGGATTTACTGTAGCGCACAGGGAACTATATTCAATATCTTGTAATAAACTACAATGGAAATGAATTTAAAAAAAGAATACAGATATATACATATATGTGTATAACCGAATCACTTTGTATGCACCTGAAACTAACACAATACTGTAAATCAACTATACTTCAATTAAAAAAAAAAAAAAGATAATTTCTCTCCATCTGTTGACTGTGAGTCCTCAGGAAAAGTGGCCAAAAGAGCAGTTCTAAGGGAAAAGAGGAAGGTTTTTAGAATGACAGATCGCTACAAGTTACAGAAACAATGTCAGGGTTTGTCACTGTAGTACACAGGTGCTGGGCACTATGGTATTATTCAGTAAGCATTTATTGATTACCTGGTAATTCCCCGGGTTGGAGAAAAGTACGGTGAAGGCAACTATGAAAGACGTGAAGTCTTTCACTTTAATGTCCTGGTTGCAAAAGCAACATAGAAGTCTAATCTCAATATGACAAAATTCCCTGGGAGAGCTAGATGCAAGTAGAATCACTGGACTTTGCTGAATACTGCTTGAAACATATGGGCCATTCCACTGGAGTTCAGAAGCATATTTATTTTTATGAGATTTCTTAATGCTTCTGATCTTCACCATGTACGAAGCAAAGCCCACAAGTCAAGTTGCTTTTAACTTTCAAAAACAAATGAAGAGCTAATTAGAATTTCCCTTCTTTGCAAAACTGGGAAGTGAGGCAAGATGTGTATCAGGGCCTTGGCTGGAGAATGAAGACAGAGAAAAGGTACTGGGTGAGCAGATTTTTTTTTTTTTTTTTTTGGCTGTGTCCTGCGGCACGCGGGATCTTACTTCCCCGACCAGGGATCGAACCCATGCCCCCTGCATCGGGAGTGCAGAGTCTTAACCACTGGAACGCCAGGGAAGTCCCATGACCAGCTTTTTATGATGACCCCAAAAGGGGCTTGAGGATAGGGGATTTTGAGTCAGAAGACGCAGACGTCCGTCTTTCCTGATTCTGCAATTTACAAGTTGTGACACCTGGGGAAAATCACATATTTCTCTGCGTACCTTGTTTGCTCTCTTCAAATGGGGATAATAACTCCCATGTGTTGACCAAAACGGCGCTTCTCTGACATAAATTACTCCCTCTCATTGCTTTTTTTCTTCATAGCAAATTTTCAGTCACTTTTTATTTACTGTCTCTTTCCCGCTACTTCGATGGAAGCTCCACGAAGGCAGAGACTTTGCTCCTTTTGCTCACTGTGGAATCTGTGCAGCCAGGTGCATTCAAGCGCTCCCTACATTTTTTGTTTGCTTTGGTTGGAATGTCTCTCTGAAAATGCTGAGAGGCTCTCTGCCCTCATTCCAGCGTGATTTTAAGGATCAGATCAAACAATGGAGGTGAAAGGGCTTTGAAAGCTGCCCAGCGCAATGACTGTAGCATATTGTTTTGGTCATTTATCGTCCAGATACTATGCTCTGCACTGTGCCCTTCAAATATCATGGAGTGGAAGATGAATTTCAAAAGGGGATCCCCCTTTGTAACTGATATCTATTGGCTGTGGCCTAGGCTGTGCACTCATGACATAACTAGAAAATTCAGTCAATTCACTGGGGGAAAAATATCAATCAATATACGGTCAGACAGTTCTTACCCCAAAGCACCACCAACTAACTGACCTTTTCCCTTTTCAAACAACTATGTTGGTGTCCTGAAGGCAAATCACAAGTTTTAATCTGGTGTTGGCTTAACGGACAGGAAAAGAGCCTTTTCTAGGAAAGACTTTTGTTAGCAATAAGGTAATACATGTAATCAGATAAAATATTAGAAGTAATAATGTAAAAATAAAAGTAATAAAAATTCTGGGGTAAAACAATATGCATAAGACAGGTGTGTAAGCAAAAATCTTTTACATATATCCCAACCAGCTTGATGGTTTTCAGTGTGGAAGGGAGGGAAAGGCCGTTTTCACTATCCAAGACCTGCTTGCTGTGTGTAATGGTTTCTATGTTTTCTGACTGTCAAATCAACTTAAACAGCAATCCGCAAGGAGAAACCCAAATGCATTTTGTGCCCAAATCTAAAAACATTAAGGGGGTATTACACTTAGCCAACTGTCCTACAAATTGTATTTTGCCATTTTCAAGAAAATTCAAGCACTTGAACTTTGGTATGATAACATTTTTCGGTTGGTTCCAAGCATTTGTTTAGTGACCTGACTTTGGATCACCAACTTCACCTCCCAAACTCTATGTTAGACACTGAATACTGGGTAAATGGATGGTGGGGACTTGGCTATCGGCAGTTCTGTTTGTTTTGCTTTTAAATGATTTCTTTACAGATCCCGTTAAAGATTTTCCATTCGGCAGAACGAACTTCCTTGTACAAATCGTGTGTAGGGGTTTTGCTATCATGACAACCTCTGAATTATTAACACAGTATGAGTCACCCAATCAAAGAATCCGTAACTAGATATTGTTTTTGTCTCTCCCATGACCCCTTTTAGGTTATAAGTTCAAGGATTCCACACACTGTAAAGCTCTGTGCAAAAGGGAATGGCTGTCATCACAGTTACCATCTCACTGGCTGCTTTTTTAGCTCATCTCCTTTTAGAAGTTCATGATAGGACCACGGAAGGTCAAATGCAAGCATCTCTTCCTAGCTTTCTGGAGATTTCTGTATTTTATACAGAGCTTCTTTGACTTATTGTCTAACTATCCCAAACCCTAAGAATTTTCCTGATTAAAAAAAAAAATTTAATATTTTGACATTTTATGTATCCTTCATAGTTTTTGACTTTAGAGATGACTCCTTTTAGGCAAATATTCAGAACCCAAAAAGTAATTTATAGTTCACTCACCGGAGCAGAGAATTTATTAAATCAAGTCTTTCCTTTCCTTGCTGTGAAAGACCGACTTTGTTCTCCTTGATGAATTTACCTATTATCTCGCTCCTTGCCCAGAAGGAATTCTCAGTATCCCTTTTAACAGACAGCAGCGCCAACAGGTAGAAACATAAACAACATAGCAAGTGGAAAATGCCTCATGAGTGCCCCTAACTGAAATCTATCCAGGCTAAGGGAGGCTACACAGCCACACTTTTATCTCTGGTTTATGTTGTCTCAACAATATGGTTTCGAAGAGTATTCATTCAGATGTAGACCATCATAACGATATTAAAAATTCCAGTTAATAATTAAATACAGGATGTCAAAGATACACTTACCTCCTGTTTAGTTACTTTGGAGCCGTCCTTGCCCTCTGGATTCTCTGGAGACTAGAAAGAAAGAATTTCGGTGAATTGTATTTAAATTGCAAAATGCATATTAAAAGACCACATAAGCCAATGATATTCTGCAGGGAAAAGTAAGTTTGTAAGACGATATGTTTCTCTCTCTCTCTCTCTCTCACACACACACACACACACACACACACACAAACACACTGCATTTATCTGCATAACTGCTCTAAGATTATACCAGGAAGTATTGCAAGAACTGATCTGAGCCCCTGTTCTCAATGCACGTTCACTCTAAGGAATTTCCATTGATCTCTTGCTGCCCGGTAAAGAACAGCGACCCAGCAGTCAGCAGCAGGGGTGCCGGGGACCCAACACATGTTCCAGTCACTTTGTTTCCCTAAGGTGAGAGCAGGGAAAACCTAAGCCAAGCGCAAAAGCGCACTTTCACCCCATACTCACCTAGCTTTGATTTCTAGCCCATTTCTTGATACGACTTGATACATTTATCGTGAGTTCCTATTTTTCCATCCTCAGCTCCAGGCTCTCTCCCACACTCCCAGCCTCGGTAGGATGGCCCAGAGCCCGGCCACGCCAGCTGATTTCTTTCCTGATTTTGATCCATCCCCCCGGGGGGGGGAGGCACCCTCCCACTCTCGCGACAGCTCAAACCTGACTCCCAACGGGGGAAATACACTTACATTTATGAGACACATCAATTATCCCAATATATTTTTATTGGCTAAAGACAATAAATAAGATAAAAACTATTCAACTAATTAGAAAATTAAAACTATTTAACACAAGATAGGAACGGAGTTCCCAGGGTGAAAACATACAAAGAGCAAATGACATTTGGCACAAATGTTTGGCTTAGGAAAATAAAGCAGCTATGCGGTAATGCCTCATCTGATAAAATGAGAAAAACATTCAAAGCTCCTAAAACCCACTGTTTGCTGGGGTTGGTGACATTGTAAATTAACATAATATTTTCAGAGAACATCCTGGCAATATGAAAAAGACACTTAGGACTAATCATATAATGACCCAGTAATTCCAATTTTGGCACAAAGACTCAAAGAGACTTCGTAAAAATATGGTTTTGTTTGTACTGTTTCTAATATGAAATAACTAGAAACAACTCACATGATCAGTAAATAACAGAGAAATATTTTAATAAACGATATAATTACTAATGCAATGCGATTAAAAATAGTTAGGCTACGTGAATACATGGAAAGTCCACATAAAGTTAAGGCTAAATTTAAACACTTAGATTATAGGGAAATCCCTGGCGGTCCAGTGGTTAGGACTCTGTGCTTTCACTGCCAAGGGCCCGGGTTCGATCCCTGGTCAGGGAACTAAGATCCCACAAGTCGCACAGCACAGCCAAAGAAAATAAACACTTAGATTATAAAGTAATATGTAAAACATAGGTCAGAAGTAGATAAAGACTTTGAGAAAGACAAAAGCTTTTCTTCAAGACACAGTAAACCTTCTCTTCTTCCCTGGGGCTGCCTGTTACCCACTGTTACCCACCGTCTACCGATTCATCCCTTTTCAGAACCTCCCAGATCCATGGAGCTCTCTCCTGTTTCCCAAATCAACCAATTATTTTTCCCTCATCCATGGAATCTTCTCTATCATCAAGGAAATCAAAGCTTCTCTTTTCTTTCTTTTTTTTTTAAATTGTGTTAAATTTCTTGGTGCAAATTTCTATTTATATATTTATTTATTTATTTATTTATTATTTTTTGGCCATGCTGTGTGGCATGCAGGATCCTAGTTCCCCAACCAGGGATCAAACCCGTGCCCCCTGCAGTGGAAGCTCAGTCTTAACCACTGGACTGGTGGCGGGGGACAGGGTGGAGTCCCAGAACTTCTCTCTTCTGTCCCCACTCTCTTGCAAAGAATGTCTGGCTCACAGATCTCATGCTATATCAGCCAGCTGAGTTAGAGACAGAAAAATCTTAGAAAATCGAATCCCTAGGTGAGCCATTTGGCTTTGCTCATTTCCACGGTTACAAACTTGACCCTTCTGGCCACAAACCAGATCCTCTGTTGTCTAAAGTGCTGGGCTCTCATTCTGACTTATGAGGCCACTCAGTAGATTCAATCTGGGGTACCCTCCAGCTGTAACTGATAGGCTTTTAAAGAAGAACCACACAGCTACTACTGATGTTAAATGACATTAAAAAATTTTTCTTAAACTGATGCTAGTGACATTATGTTCAATATTCTTCTAGGCAGTGGATTTGTGACAGCAATATGACTGAAAGATCACTCTCTAAACACTGACCTAACAATGTGTGTATTGGATGCAAATTATTGAAAAAGAGAAACTTGGAAAGACCCCACCAAAAAAGCAGGTATAACTGAAAATGCTAATACTTTCAGATGCATGAACGAATGAACCTAAGACTGGAGATGGGAAGAGACACAACTCCAGCAAAGCTCAACCTCTCCATAAGAGCATTCTATGAACAAGCACATAGAAAACTGCAAGCCAGGAATGACCCAAGTGACCTTCACCCTGGGATCAGTGGGGTACTGTGGCACACATGCAGGTCAAGACACTGGCTTCAATCGTGGCTCTCTACCTAGGAGACGTGTGATCTGGGGCAGTGAGTTGATCACTGTGGCTCAGTCTCTTCATCTGATAGATGATAATGACATCTAACTCAGAGGGTGATGTTTACGTTCAAGCCAGATGTTGGGGAGAGCATTTCACAGACTGAATCGCTATACAGATGTTATACAACAAAATATATGTCTCTTGAATTATCAAATATGATATATCATATTGAACAGGGCCTTGAGGTTGAGCACATTTCCTTACAACCAGAGTCCCTGCAACCTTGTTGTCTGTTTTTGTTACACAGAGTAACAGGTACACGATTTCGGAAAGACCTACCGTTTCCGGGTGTCTTATCACACACTCTGTCCACCGTTAACACTGAGCCATGAGGCTGGAGAGAGCAGGAGATCATGGTATGAAGGGATTAAAAGAGAAGCCCGAAGGTTTTGTCCCAAGGGATCTTGAGGAATAAAAACAAAGAAAAGGGAGAAATGAGGCTTGGGGGTGTACATAGGTGACCTCAGATGTACTTCAACCACCTTGTGGGCTGACGGGAAGGTAAGTGAGTTAGGCGGGACGTGGGGAATTCCAAGGCAGAGGGGTCTTGCCCCACTCCCCCAGACAGGGCAGGCTTATGCTAATCCAGTTGGAACCCAGAATGGTCAAAAGGGCAGAGAACCATGGTCTAACAAAAAGATCTCATTCACATATCTGAGGCTCCTTCAGCACCCAAGTAGATGGGGACTGAGCTGAGAGCCAGCAAGGGGTGGGGGACACACGTGGTGGCCTGATGGAAGGCAGAGCAGGGATTCTGGGGGAGTCAGAAGCACCACTGAGAGATGATCTGAGGGCAAGTTGGCAGGCAGGTGGCTCACTGAACACCTGGTGACCCAATGGAGACCCAAAATCAGCCAAGAGCATGAAATTTGGCAAAAATCAACAGGTAGTTGAACTTTTTAAAATTACAAGTTCTGAAAATTAAAGTAGGCTCATTGAAATAAAAAAACTCAAAACATAAACTCTAGTCCAGGGACAGTAGAAGAAATAATGAATTGTCACGGATTGCTGAGGAATTAGCCCAGAATGCAGGAACGAGCAATAAAGAGCTAATATGAAAGAGAGGCTAGGAGACATGGTGGCTAACTGCAAGGTTCCACCTGTATCTCATAGACATTCAGAAGCAGAAAACAGAGATACTAACAAAGGCATAATGGGTGAGAACTTTCCTAAACTGAAGTCATGAGTCTCCAGATGGAAAACTCACACCAGGGAACGAACTGGAAACAAAACAAAGCAAACAAATACAATGAGACATAATAAAACTACGGAAGGTCAAGGAAAATGAGAAAAATCTTTAGAAGTTATCAGAATTAAAAGATGAATTATTTTCAAAGAATTACTTCTCAAGCATCTATAAATTATAAGAAACTACGAAGCAACGTTCAAGGAGTTGAGGAAAACTGTCAGCCTAGAATCCTATACCCAGCTATCATTCTAGAGTGAAGGCAAAATAAAGACATATCAGAATACAAATACTAAGAGAGTTTACTACCAACAGAGCCTTTCTTTCAACAAGGATCCAGTACTAAATAATCAAATTCAGCGATAAGAAAAGTGAATTAAGATGGAAGGAAAATATGTAAGAAAAAATGTATAAAATATATTGGCAAATCTAATTATTACCTGTAGATACTAATATGTATTTTTGTGTGTTTAAAAATATTTCAGTAGAAATCCTAGATTAGTGCTGCCCTATAGAATTATAACACGTAATTTTAGATTTTCTAACAGCCACATGAAAAAAGTTAAAAGACATGGGTGAAATTAATTGTAATAATATATTTTATTTAACTGAACATATCTAAAGTTTTATCATTTCAACATGTTATCAATATCCAAATTATTAATGAGATATTTCACAAATTTTCTTGGCACTAAATCTTCAAAACCTGGCATGTATTTTACACTTACAGCACACCTCCATTCAAATGTTAAGTTTTCACCAGGAGTACCTGACCCTCTAAATATGTTAGAGATCATAAAGTTTATAGTAGTTTCACATATCCAGGTTGTTGCAAACATATTTAAAATTTTCCATAACTGAATCTAATACCAGTTCTTAAATTTAAATTGATTAAAATTAAAATTTTAAAAATTCAGCTCATTCTTTCTCATTGGCTAATAGACTCATGCAGTTAATGGCTGCCATATTGGATGGGACAATTCTAGACAATAACAACCGCAAAAGATGAGAGGAGGGGGAACAGATCATCCTCACCCCCAGCATGGGAGGGTCCTGGTTTTGTTCTGGAGAATGATGCTGACACAGAATCATTTTAGACTCTGTTAAAACAAAATTTAAAGACAGGCATTTAAAATTTTAAGAAAATAAATAAGTTCTATAAACTTAAAAATCAGGAGAAGTGGAATAAGGCAAATTTTACAATCAAAGGCAGGGGAG